CCCCAGAACCCCCCGGGAAGCTGCCGAGCCCGGGGAGGGGGGCTCCCGGCCCTGACCGCACGCCCGCCCCTGCCCCTGCCCCGCAGCCGGAGGACCTGATGAACATGCAGCACTGCAACCTGCTCTGCCTGCCCGAGAACTACCAGATGAAGTACTACTTCTACCACGGCCTCTCCTGGCCCCAGGTGGGCGGGCGGCCTCGGCGTCGCGGGCTGCGAGCGCTGGCCCAGGCGCGAGGTCCCCACCTTGTCTGTCCTCGTCGGGTCAAGGACAGGGCACGGTGTGGTGGGGGTGCTTGGCAAGAGATCGCGAGCTGTCACAAAACCACTCTACTTGACCAGCGTCATTGGTGTCTCACGCATAGCGGGAGGTGGTCGGGGGACAAGGCGTCCTGTCGGGGCACCTCCAGCTCTGACTTCCTTTCCTCTCTGTCACCAGCTCTCCTACATTGCTGAGGATGAGAATGGGAAGATTGTGGGGTATGTCCTGGCCAAAATGTGAGTCACCGAGGAGGAAGAGCAATGCCTGAGAGCTGGGGGAGGGCAGAGCCACATGGCTGGTGGATGTTGCCGTGCGATTTGATTCTCAGTTAGTAGGCTTTTGCTGCGTTTGAATGCTACATGAGGAACCACCACTGTCACACTGTTAGCGACCAGACCCTGTGGTTTACCTGCTGTGCTACCTAGTTTGCGCGTTCTGTGGGTTTGGATGGAAGACTTGTGCCCCACCTGTTCGTTCTCCCTCCCTCCCTCAGCTCCTGGGAACTGGTGATCTTGGTACTGCCTCCATGGCTCTGCCTTTCCCAGATATCAGAATTTGAATCATTCAGTCCGAGGTTTTTACAGACTGACTTCTTTTTTTTTTTTTTTTTTTTTTTTTTTAAGAGGTTTTTTTCATAGGGGTTTTGTGTTCCCCTGGTGTGCTCACTGGACAAACAGAAAGCGAGAAATCACTCCTCGGGTTGGATGGCCACACCGCAGTCCCTTCTCCTCCATTTTCCTCTTGGGATTTTGGGCACGCACGCACACGCACACGCACCTGGCATGAGTTTTAAGCCATTGGGTCCAGGACTTGAACCACAGTCGACCATGTGGGAGTCCAGCAATGGAACCACTGCAGCATCTGCCGATCCCTAGACTGGCTTCTTTTCATTTAGTAATATGTATTTAAGGTTCTTTGTCATCTTTTTGTGGCTTGACAGCTTCTTTATCAGGAAACAGAATTGCGGGTCTGGTAGGTACAATGTGGGGGTCTGAGGCTGCAGAGAAGCAGGATTGTCTGCTCTGGTCTAGGGGTGCCAGTGTCTGGGGGCACTAGAGGGCCAGCCTGGAGGAGAGCTGGGTGTGTACATGCCAGGAAGATGACTGTCCTTTCTAACCTCTTGCCTTTCACCGTTTCTAGGGAAGAGGACCCAGATGATGTGCCCCATGGTCATATCACCTCATTGGTATGTAGGCCCCGCCCGTACTCTGATGGGGCTGGAAGTCAGGGGTAGTTGGGGCAGCCCTCGAGGTCCTGCCTCCTGTCCCCTCTCCCACCAGGCTGTCAAGCGTTCTCACCGGCGCCTTGGGCTGGCTCAGAAGCTGATGGACCAGGCCTCCCGAGCCATGATAGAAAACTTCAATGCCAAATATGTCTCTCTGCATGTCAGGAAGAGGTGGAAGCTGTGCTGAGGGGAGGGGAGCTAGCGGGCAAGGGGGTAGACAGCTGCCATCTTGATGGGGATCCTGGGGTGCCCTGGGTTTTGGAGAAGAGCCATGAAGTGGGATTAGTGAGGGGGGGGTACAGGAGGAGGAGCAGGGCCTGGCCAAGTCTGCGCAGCTCAGCAGTGCCTTGTTCCCCTGCAGTAACCGGGCCGCCCTGCACCTCTATTCCAACACCCTCAACTTTCAGTAAGTAGATCAAGATTTCTCTAGAGTGCTGGGGCTGGTCCCAGGTCTGGCCCACCCCATCAGCTGAGATGGGCTGAACTGCCTGCCAAGCAGGAGGGTGGTGTGGCTGAGACGGGGAGCAGCTGACACCTGCCATTCCATACATTCTGGAACAGAGGAGGCGTTTGTTGTGTTGTGGGTGGGGACACTGTGGCTTGACGCTGGCTGAGACTGGCGGAGGGCAGGGCAATGGAGACACACCCCATGGCTTCTTAGTGGAAATGGAGCAGGGGGCAGAGCCGTGGGTCCAGGGCATGAGCAGGGGCTGATGGAACAAGTTCCAAGTGACCAGGCACCTAGAACCACCCACTGAGTGCAGAGAAGGGAGAAAATGGCACACCAGTGACCCGAGCATGCCCAGGAGGGCTGGCAGTGAGAGCAGTGGGGCCCCTGGAGCCCTGCACAGCTTTGTGGATGGTGGCAGGCCTGGTATCTCCATGTGCCCAGCATAGGAGGCAGAACCTGGACCCGGACATTGGCAAGCCCAGTAGACAGTGGGGAGAAGCGAGGCTGGTGGGCTGTCCACGGAGATAGTGGTCAGCTTGGGGGGTGAAGGGGAGGGGGTGGTTAGGAAGGGGTGGCCTCTGGCAGTAATGCCTCAGCACTGTCAGCCACCCCTCTCCATGTCTGAGGTCCCTCATCTCTTCTCCCTCCCAGGGGCAGGGCCGAGTTGGCTCAGCCTCTGGCCTCCCGTCTGGGGATGAGCACCCCTCCCCTAGTTCTGATTGCTGTGGCAAGGCAGAGGCCCCCCAGGTACTCAGGAGGTATGGGGAACAGGTCCGGAGAGGGCCAGGCCCAGGGCTGGTGAATTTTTCCAGAGGCTGGGGAGAATGCACCCCAGGTTTGGTCTTTCTCTTTGCCCCCCGCCCCACCCCCAGGATCAGTGAAGTGGAGCCCAAATACTACGCAGATGGAGAAGATGCCTATGCGATGAAGCGGGATCTCACCCAGATGGCGGAGGAGGTAAGACTCGAGCAGGCAGCGGCTGAGGAAGGTCCCTGCACCAAGGAGGAGCAGGGTGAGGAAAGCCAGTGAGAGAAAGTGGCAGCCCTTGATCCCTGCGAGTGGGGAGGCCCGCAGTGCCACCTGCTGGGGCTGTGTTGCTGCTAACCCTCATGTCTCCAAGGCTGGCGAGGGGAAGGCGGGCGGCCTTTTAAGGGGCTGTGGAGGAAGAAGCCTCGGGGAACGACAGGGAAGGGGAGGAGGATGGCCTGGTGCCATGACACTGGGCTTCACAGGAAGCCAGGGGTCCAGTTCTGCCTCCGTGAAGGAGGCATGGCCACTCTCACTTTATAGCCAGGAAACAGGCCCAGAGAGCTGCAGTGCCAGGACTCAGACCAGGCCTCCCTGCTCCATCCTCTGGACCCCCGCCCCCATTTGCCCTGGCTCCTGGAGACTGAGGCCTGTCTTGTTCCTCTGCTTCCCCTGGGCTCCTGACGGCAGCTGAGGCGGCACCTGGAGCTGAAGGAAAAGGGCAGGCCCGTGGTGCTGGGCTCCGTGGAGAACAAGGTGGAGAACAAGGGTGGTTCACTTCTGAGCTCGGGTGAGGCCTGTCGGGAGGAGAAGAGCCTGGCTGCAGAGGATAGTGGCGGGGACAGCAAGGACCTCAGCGAGGTCAGCGAGACCACAGAGAGCACCGACGTCAAAGACAGCTCCGAGGCCTCTGACTCGGCCTCCTAGAGCCTGCCCACCACATCCCCACCTCATGAGCTTTCACAATAAACTTCACCCCATGACCTGGGGGAGTGTGTGTGTGTGTGTGTGTGTGTGTGCATGTGCGCGCGTGTGCCACGGGGGTGCACTCCAGCTCTCCTGTGTCTGTGGGGACCTTCACGGCCTTTTGGCCCACATAGAAGGGAAGAGCTTTGTCAGGCTGTAGCAATGGGGCTCCCCAGCCTGATGGCTTTGGCAGCTTCATGCCAGAAAGGGAGGCCTTGGACTTGAGGGAGAAACCCTTGCCTCCAGAGCGGGGCTCTGCCACCACCTTGCTGGCCTCAGCATCCTCATGGACACTCCAGGCTGCCATAGAGAGTCCCTCAGGTCCCCCACACTGAGTGTGTTAAAGGACAAGCCTGGCTAGTTAGCTCAAACCCTGAAGACGGTCTCCTGTCCTCACTGGCCCTCACTGCCTCTGCTCGGCCCTGACCTTGAGTCCTACTTTCAGCCCTTTCTCCCCCGGCACTTTCGTTCAGCTACAGCACATTCAGCCCTCCTGGGCTCGGTTGGGCTTATCTGCAGAGTGCTGTCTGGGTAAGGATCCAACCAGCTCCTCAGCCACCCAAGCCCTGCCCACTGTCCAGGTAATGCCAGTCCTGTGTCCAGCCACCTAAGTGCCTCTGGAATCTGCTTTCCAACCTGAGCCCTCATTGGAAAAGAAAGAACAGGCCTGCCTTCTGGTCAGTTTCAGGTTTGAAGAATTAGGATAGTGGTGCCCCTGTGAACATTGTATCCGGTGGCCTGTTACCGTCCTGAGCCAGGGTGGATTCATTCTTGCAATCCAAGGCTTACGTGCCCGGTGCGCCTTCTTTGTGTTGTATGGTCTCTGTGAGTTTTGACAGGCATAAAGCCACCTATCCCCCATTACAATTTCATGGCCTCGCCCTAACCCTGACTTTCCTTCTGGCTGCAGTGCCTTCACCTGCTCCTACTCGCTAGGCAGGCTCTGCCTGGGCTGACCACCTCCCAGCGCAGCGCTGCACTCCCGAGCTGTCATCCCTTTTGCTCCTGCCTCTGCAGGTGGCACACTGCTCCTTTGCTAGATTGAATAAAACTGTGCTGGCCCCTGGAGCTTCTCACTGGCTGCTGCCCGTCACGTGACTATCAGTCAGCAGGGGCGGGCACGGAGGCAGACGCGGGAGGCGGTGCCGGCACCGGAAGGTTGCGCCTGCGCACATTCGCCGCTCTCGGGCTCGCCGTAGGGGGGGGGCACAGG